TAAATTAGGAATGAAAATATGTATATAACTATGAGGATAAGTGATACATATGTATTTGGATAAATGGATCACTTGAGAGTTGTATTTGGATTGTATTACTTTAGCCCTTACAAATTGTCTTACAAATTTATTGCAATGTTTTTTATAAATTATGAACGAAAAATAAATACATAAGTATGACGATACCGTCTACATATATATTTGCATAAGTGGATCCCTTGAGAGTTGTATTTGGATTCTATTACTTTGGACCTTACAAATTGGTGTACAAATTTATTCGGATATTTTACATAAATTTGGAATGAAGATATGTACATAAGTACTAGAATAAGTTTTACATATGTATTTGCATAACTGAGTCACTTGAGAGTTGTATTCCAATTCTATTACTTTGGGCTTTGCAAATTGTCTTACAAATTTATTACGATGTTTCTTATAAATTATAACGATTATATGTATATAAGTATTAAGATAGGTGTTACATATGTATTTGCACAAGTGGATCACTTGAGAGTTGCATTTGTATCCTATTACTTTGGGCTTTACAAATTGTTTTAATGCATTTGCCACAATTCAAATACTTGACTCACACTCATATGTCACCCAATTACATTTCATAATACATGATTAAAATCACTTATTATGCATTTTCATAATACACAAAATAATACAAATTTGCCCAACCCCCCGAAATTGTTATAAAAGGCAACAACAATTAAGCAGAGGTAAATCAACAACATCATAAAAATAATGCAAAATACATAATGGAATGATTGTCAATAATGAAAGAGTCATTCAATTGGTCGGTTCATCTCCGCGATTGGCATTTGGGACGTTGGCCTGACACTCGATTCACAATTGTTTAAATCTACTATCTTTCAATATGATCATGCCACAATATGCAATCAAATTAGATAACATCACAACACACAAGAAAATTTCATAAAAAATACTTGTACGAATGTGTTAATGAAGACAACTACCTACCTTATCACTTCTGAAACCATCAATGAAGCAATCATTATGTGAATAACTGGTATTGAAATTGCGTGAATCGATAACAAAGGTCTACAACATTTTATAGTTTTCCTTATATATTATAAACCATCGGTTAAATAATTATGCAACTTTGTATATTGCAATTTATATGTTGGTTCCATCTTAACAGCAAACTTGCCTAGTTAATTAATGGAGTGCTTACTTCACCAGGCGGTTACCAAAACCTTGTGTGATGCATTACGCGTTGTGGTGGTGTCACATAACTTTCTTCATTGAGAAATTCAGCTGGAATTTCACAGCTCTACAAAATAAATGTTGTAAAATATTTTACCAGAGATTAACTTGTAACCATAATGAACATGTTAAGCAGCCTGGGAAGCTGCGAGACAAAAAATTGAAAAGGTGGATTGGGTTGCCTTGAGGTAGATTGGGCTGGCTTATGTTGGAGTGTGGGTAGACTTAGATGGTCTATTCATTCAGTCTTAGTTATGCAAAGAGTAGTTATTACTCAGGAATTCTTGCAAAAATGAGACTTTGCATTGGCAGCAAGGTGTTATCTATGTTATAAACAAGTTAAAACTTAGGACCATGTGTTCTTTAGTTGTATCTACACTTGGAAAGTGTGGACTTTTCTTTTTGAAACTTGTGGGTGGAATTTGCATAGAAGTTTAGGTGTTCAAGACCTGGCAGATCAGTTTATCCAGAACTCTCAAAGGAGAGATATCAAGAAGATGGCCAGAATTAGTTACATTGCTACTTTGTACTTTCTATGGTGGGAGAGGAATAACAGATTGCATGATAAGATTGCAAGATGTAATACCCCTAATTTTAAAAGGATAGCCTCGGTATTTATTTATTTCTTTTAATTGTATTTTTAATTATTTAATTGATTATTTGACTAATTGCTTATGTGTTTAATTGAATTAGGTATTACTTGATTATTTGATTATGTGCCTATGTATTATTTGTATTTGTATATGTGTTAATTGTTTAATTAGATTATATGCTTAAATGGTGTTTTGATTAATTGTAAATTAAATTTTTATTTTTCTTTTATTATTTTATTTTATTTTTCTTTTATGGTTATGGTTAGTAGTAATGGGCCAACCAATTGGGTTCCATGGACTACTTGGATAGGAGGTTGGATGTGTATGGATTATTACCCATGGATAGTTGTGTATGTATATATATAGATATATATTATATACATATATAAAAATGAAAGTAATTTATTAATTACTTTTATGGTAACTTGGGTAATAATATTTAATCTGATGTATATGTTTTATATTTAAATAATAAAAATATACATAGATTTGATACGTGTTATGTTTTAAGTTACTTTATAATATTATGGTAACTTAAGTATTATTGGATAATCCATTAATAAATAATGGAATGTGTATAATTTATTTATTTAATAAACATATACATAAATTATATACGTAACATATTTTACTTACCTTTTTAATATTTTAATATTTATTTTTTTTAAGTTGACTTAGATTGGGAAAAGGGTTAGGATTATTTTATTTAGCCTATAAATATATAGCTATAGGTTGTAAAAGGGGGTTAGAAATATTCACGTGATATATTCTAGAGATAGAGAGAGAGTTAGAGAGGGAAGGAGGAAAAGAAAGGAAGGAGAAAAAAAACCTGTAAAGAGAAGATCAAGGAAGAAGAAGTTTAACTTTTGATCCGAAAGTTTAAGGCAAGTTCTTCTTCTATCTCTTTCCCTTTGATTCGTGTTTCTGTACATGCCTAGGAAATTTTAAGATTTATTAAACACATAAAATTAAATAATTATGCATGTTTAATTGGATTAGAATATAGGTTTTATGAAATTGGTTCATATCTGTTCTTGTGTCATGAATTGATAAATACATGATTTTGATTTGATTTCCAGTGTGAATTTTTATATGTTTACATTATGTATTTTTCATATATGTGGAATGATGGAACGTAGAAACATGTCTAAGGTTCCTAAACATTAAATAGGAACTAGGTTTGGGTTTAAATAATTTAAATAGACTCAATCATAATGATGCTTGCTATTTGAATGTTTTAAATAAACGAATGGATTTAATCTTTTAAAATATTTTAGCAATTAAGATAAAATGTGTAGGATGAATTGGATATGGAGAATGCTTATTTGATGGTATAATAAAATATCATTATGTATAAGATGCAGTTTGTGTAAGACATATGATATAGGAAGCTTAAATAAATAATAAGTCATTCCTATTTTGTGATAACTTGATATCAAATTATCATAGTTATTTCTGGATTGTTTTGATGTATTTCCTTAATCATTACATCAATTGTTGGATTGTGTGGTTTAATGTACCGGTATGGGATGGTGGCATTCTAGGGATGGATTAACTTATCAGTTAAATCCTACCTATTTTATATAAGGGAATGGATTAACTAAAATGTTAAGTCATACTTATATTCAAGTCAGGCTAGCTGAAAAAGTTGAATGACTTATGGAGGATTAATTTATTATATAAGAGAATGGATTAACTAAAATGTTAAGTCCTACTCATATTCAAGTCAAATCAGCTGAACAAGTTGAATGATTTATGGAGGATTAATTTATACTGGATAAGATGGTTACTAGATTTTATATATATAAGTACAGTGCCATGATATGAGCTTGAGTCTCAGGATCAGTGGTTAAGGCGTGTATATCGCCAGGGATGTGTAGCTAGATATAGTGTAGTTGTGTACCCTGGTAGGTCTAGGTACTCATGCCCACTATATGTGCGTTTTGCATATTGCCTACTATTCAGGTTGAAACAACCCTATAATTTAGTGAGGTTCCTTTAGTGTATATATATATATATACGGATTACTAGTTACTGTTGGATTGAGTAGGATGTATATGTGTATCGGATCTCTGTTTGGACTGTAGTAGAGTAGAACTTGTTTGTGGGTCTGACCCACCATTATTTTTCAGGTGTTCGTTAGGAGTAGAGGTTGTTCATGCTGAGCGGGGATCAATCTACTTCATTCTTTCGATGCTACATAGAAGTTCCTTTATGATTCAGTTTCCTGATTTAGACAGTTATTGCTGTCATTTGTTTAGTTTGGATTTTCTAGGGGTCCACACAGTATGGATTCCCGAGTTGTATTTTGGAGGATCAGTTGTATCAGAAGAATTTATTAATTAATAGAAATATATTCTGAGGTTTATTATTAGATTATCATTTTAGTTTCTTGTCAGCATTTCATTTATTCTTCTTTATTCTTTTGTACTCTGTGTTCGTTAATTATCAATTTGTTTTGATATCCTCGGGTATTCGGGTGTGGGCCTGGCCAACCCGCATTCGGAAATCCGAGGGTATCACACAAGAGCAGCTAAGGATCTAGCTAAATGTATTTTATGGGAGGTTTTAGATGTGATGGGAGTTAATCTCCAAGACATATTGTAACTTTCCATTGCTTGCTAGTTTAGGTGTTTTAGTGTCATTTTCTAAGACTATGTTTTGTTTTAATGAGGGTATGCCCTCATTTATCTCCATGTATTATTTGTTTATATTCAATATACTTCTTTCATTTAGGGAAAAAAAAAAAAACATGTTAAGCAATGTGCTGAAAATTGTTATGTAACAATACTCACATTCACTAACATATGGTAAGGGATTGTTCCACTATGATTACTGCCACCTGCCTCTTCGGATTGAAGGGCTGCATTGCAATTCTGTAACACAATAATGAGAATTATTACGTATGCATAATTAATACAGAACTGGTATTACTTATGAAACTGAAAATAGTAAAGCGATAAAAGTACATGAACCTGAACTGTTTGTTTCGTTGATTTCGTCTTATTGCGACTCTTTTGCTCCATGGTCGGTTTTAACCTCTTAAATTTTCCTTTCTGTGTATCTTTACACTTGAGGCCATTGGGGATTTTGTCACTGTTTACGTTGCTCCCCAAATATTGGTTTTTGCCTTTACCACCAATATAAATTGTATTCCTCTCAGCAAACCTACGCCTACAACTTGATTGGGCAATTTTTTTTCCACTCCATGGCTTTCACTAACAAATCATTGTATCTGTCCTTATACTCCGATACAATGGATGAAATTTCTGTCAGAATACGACAAAGTACCATGTGCCGTCTCCTAACCTCAATTTTTGGATCAGCATCGATAATCACTTCACAGGAAAGATTTTCTTCCAAGCTGCCATCTCTAGCAGTTCTAGTCCACCTTTTAAATATATATCGACGAGGCAATGTATTGGCGAACATGGAGTCCTTTAAGATTTTCAAACTATGCCTGCACATAATATCCTTCCTTTCAAATTTACAACAAGAACATAACAATTCATCTTTTGATGTCCTCGTCACGTTGCGTTGCATCCCATCCTCACCAACGACTTTGTAAACACAGCCTCCATTGCCATCGATGGGACTACAACCAATGATCCTCTGACTGGCACCAGTTGCTAAGAACTTCTCCTGGAAAATATTAAATATAACATTTGTGTACAGGTGTACCGCCTCTACTAATATGTTACATTTTGTTTTCAGTTGAGGTAGTTTGTGGAGCAACCCATACTCAGCTACATACTCCTTGTAACGCTTATCGTGCAATGGCCTTTCAAAGTGTGTGAAGAAATCTAAAAGAATCAGCTGCCCGGATAAGTATGCCTTCAAGTAACCATTAAAGCTTTCACTCAATTGTGTGCGGTGGATACCCGCGGACCAGGCATGTTTAATAAATGCCATGGCCCATCTATGTTTCAAACCTAACAGATTTGTAAGCCACGTGTTACCAACAACACCATATTCTATTATCATTAAATTCCATTCCCTGGTAAATTCTTCCTCCTCCCTAATTTGAAACATTAATTTTGGTAACACCTTCTTAAAGCCTTGCGCACGTCTAAACAAGAACCCTAGATGCTTCTGTGCATTTTGCATTAGGTGCCAAGCACACCGATAATGTTTTGTCCCTAGCATCACCTGCAAAATTATTTTATGTAATATAACTACGTAATAACATGTACCACTGCCAACTACACAATGCAAAAGGAAATGCAAAGAGTGGAGATCTGAATTGAAATCACCTCCATTGTAGCATCTTGATCAGTGAAGATCGTCTTTGGTGCTTTACCGGACATTGCTTTCAAAAACGTTTGAAACAACCAAACAAACGACTCCGCAGTCTCGTCAAACATGAACGCTGCTCCAAACACAGCGATCTCCCGGTGATGATTCAACCCCAAGAAACTTCCAAATGGACGATTGCCGTGTACAACTTTGTATGTTGTGTCAAAACTTACAACATCTCCAAAATTGCAATAATCAACTATCATTTTTTAATCAGCCCAGAATATGTTAGTGATCATTTGATCGCTATCCAATTGGAATGCATAAAAGAAAGATGGATATTCACAAGACTGAGTCTTAAAATAATTCATTAGCCATGTTGCCGCTCCATATTCAAGCTTGGTTTGTCTTTGGGTCCTTATATGGTTTAGTAAATCCAACTTCATGTACCCGACTGATTCTTTTCCACCAGTTTGCCTTCCCATCAACTCATATGAATTGCGAGGGCTTATTCCTGAATCAGAAGCCAATTCCAAATCAATGGCCTGAACGCGGCTAATTCTACACTGGGATGGCAGCATGTGCATGCATTCATCAATCATCAATGGATGGTTGTGGCTTTCAACAAATTTTGTAACTTCCAACTTATGGGTATACTTGGAAACTTGTATAAGTATTCGAGCAAGGCAATCAATTCGTGTTTCGGCCCTGGGAGTCTTTGTATTACTGTCCCGAACGTCGTCAACCCTAAAACCCTCCTTACAGCATGTTAACAATCTCGATGATAGTTTACCAGTCTTCTTGCTCTTATTAAAATACTCTTTATAGATGCTAAAACTGACTCGATCAACATATGAATTTTAGAAATCATATGCCTCTTCCTCAGTATCAAACTTCATACCTATTCTTGGTTTCCATTCTACAACATCAGCCCATGCAATAAGAGCATTTTCTGTATATATGGTGTATTCGATGTTATTTAATACCTCTTCCATACTAATAATTCAAATCAGAAACCTACAATATAAAAAAAATAAAATTTAAACAAAAGGCTGTCTTACAAGTATGGATTATTAATTGGAAAAAATTTCTGACCTATTAACATTATTCAAGATAGTATAATGTATCATGGATCCAACTTCCTCCACTGCACATATTTTAATTTTGCTACAAATAACAAAATTATTTATTTATTTAATTTTTTCCAAATCAAAGATGGACTTTTTCCAATTTTTGGGCCTTCTATTTTCATAAAATTTATAACTATGTTCAATTATTCATTAACTTTTTCCAAATCAAACATGGACTTGCAAACTTTTTTGGGCTTATTTTGAGAAACATTACAACCATGTTAAGTTATTTATAATGAACAATCATAAGTCTCAATGGAAACTTACAGGAATACAATGGAAAATTTAGTCTAACATCTTAAATTGGAAGTGTAAAACCTCCATTCAACCTCCATGTATAATTATACACAATATCCCAACTATATTGAAGTATTTATCATGAATAAAACACTGCATTACATGAATACAATGGAAAATTTATTCTAACATCTTAAATTGGAAGTTTAAAACATAACATAACTTATAATACAGAATATCACAACTTTTACACAATTTAATAATTTAATTTTCACAATTTCTCATTCAATTTTTCATAGTTTAATAACAATTCAAGAATAACCAAACAAAACCAATGAAACACAATGTCATACGATTCACAAATTCACTTACAAAACCAGTACACTGTAGCTTCGTCTTCCTCGGCCTTTAATCAAACAGAGGACACTGTAGCTTTGTCTTCCCCGACGTTCAATCAAACCTTTCCAAAGATATTGTAAATTTGGAAAGAAGAAAATTAAGGAAAGCTGGGTCAAGAAAATTTTTGGGAAGAAGAATTTATTTCTTTCTATATTTTGGGAGAGAAGAAGAAAGAAGATTAAGAACTGGTGCTATACCTTCGTCACTGTTGCTTCGTCTTCTCCGACGTTCAATCAAACCTTTGGAAAGAAATTGTAAATTTGGAAAGAAGAAAATTAAGGAAAACAGAGCTAAGACTTTTTTTGGAAGAGGAATTTATTAATTTCTATATTTTACGAGAAGAAGAAGAAAGAAGATTAGAAGAGGCGCTAAATCTGTTTTGGAATTTCCAATTTGGCGCTTAAATCTGAGTTTCAATACATATAATTTCGTATATGTCTGTATATATAATTTTGTATATGTGTATATATTTTTCATATATGTCTGTGTGTATATATATATACCCTTTTTTTACCCGTTTGGCCCTTTTTACCACCGCTACAATGCCTGAATAGTAGGAACCGGAGGGAACAGATTCTCCTATTCCAATGGAGAGGATTTTGGTCCCACATGGATATCATATGGTGGATCAGTCTTCATTCAGAGGTGGGTCCCATGAGTCAGACTCGGACTCGAGAGGGCAGTTTGAAGAGATAGAATTATGGTTTTTCTTTGGAGTATTTACGGATTGGAGATGGAGTTAGACTTGTCCTCGGATTACGATGAAAAAGTGGGTCCCATGCGACAGACTTGGACTCGATTGTGGTGCAGAGACAGCAGTTTGAAGAGGTGGAATTGTGATTTTTTTTTTTTTTTTTTTTTTTTTGAGTTTTTGATGTTCGGATTGGAGATGGAGTTAGACTTGTTCCATATTCGATTCTGATTAACAGTGAAATGGATATATATGAATTGGATGTTAATTTCACTTAACAACCTAAGTTTTTGTATTAGATCATGAAGTACCTATCCATTACAATTGCTATCAAGTGTAGGGATGGCACTAGGGTGGAGTTAGGTCGTTCGTCATACCCACTCCACCTGTGTACTCTGACCATTAATATATTAACGTACACTTGCAGCAAAGTAGCAAAGGTCTTAAATTTTTTAGATATATATAATTTTTTTTAAAGTACATATATAATCACGGCGGGACTAATTTATCACTAAATCCTTTTACGCCCCAAACCTGCTTCGATTTTTTAATTATTTTACTATATTCGCCCCCAAACTCATTTAGGGGCTTCCAAATTTGCCACATTAGGGGTTGGGTGGACAAAATTTCTATCCCTAAGAGTCAGACTCAGTCCTTTATCCAGTGTCACCGAAGCTAGGTGTTGTGAGTTTTGAGAGATTTATCCCACATTGGATCTGAATGGGTATATATGAGTTGGTTGTTAGCCCCACCTAACAACTTAAGTTTTTTGGTTGAATTGAGTGAAGCACCCACCCGTTACATGTTAAAGGTGTCCTGCATCAAATTCGAATGGGAATATACATAGGTAGGTGTGCAACACTACCTAATAGCTTAAGCTTTTAGGTCAGCAGGCAATGACAAGTGCCTATTACAACGAGTTAGCCTTTTTTTTTTTATCCTTTGAATATGTTATTAATTGGCTAAAAGGACCAATATAAGGGTTTTACCTCTTTAGACCGTATTTAATTAAGAACAATTCCATTACACATTATTTTAGCGATTTTGGGCTAAATTCGGTGATTTGGGTTTGTCAATTTTATATAAAAGGGTAATAACATCAATTTACCATTGTTAGGGTGTCTTTGTCTATTTTATGAAACTTGAGGGGTGTCATTGTCCAAAAATAGGCCAACTTGTATATGGTTGTCCTTATGCCAAACCTCATAGAGTGTCATTGTACTTTACCCTAGAATTTATATGTTCACGCTCTAACTCAAGCTTCCCAAAGGATTAGCTCAAGCTTCCCATATGATTGTTCTTTTTTCCTAGTTGATTTTAATAATGGTATTGTATAGTTTTTTTAAAAAAAAGTCATAAAGTATTGTATTGTTTTAATTGTTCTATTCCAAAATGGATATTATAATATTTAATTTCTTTTTAAATATAACCGTTAGAAAAAAGTTTTTAAGAAAATATATTAAATATTAAAATATTAACTAAAATTTAAAAAGTATAAAACGCTGATGTGAGTTTTAAAAATGTTGAAGTGGTTCTTGAAGAATGCTGACGTGGAATTATTGGATTGTCAAAATTTTAGCAATGTCACTGGAGATACTCTAAATAAACCATTGAATGGCTATCATGGTAAAATCTAATATAAATAAAGGCCTCCCCTAGACTATGGAAGCAAGCAAATTCTTAAAAAATAAAAAATAAAAAATTTAAAATTTAGGTTAGAAATTTGAAAAACTTTCTTGAATTAAATCAAATGGGTTCCAAATTTAGCGAGTGTTAATCTTGTCCAAGGTGGTTCTATTTTCATAGACGAACTTATTTTATTTTTTTATTATTATTTTTTTAGTGTTAGGTAAGTATTTACAAACACATTTCACAAATTATTAGAATTTTGAACTCTTCACTTGATTGGTAGAAAGACCACTTACTACCAATATTATATATGTAACTTTTCAATCTTCTTAGAATTGCAAAACTATAATAAGGGTATAAATTAAAAATTGAGTAGTTCAAAACTTAAATGAAAAATATTTCGTTTTACTTTTACAATGACATAGATGGGAAGTTGGATAGATTTTATTCACTAAAATAAGATTTTGAATGCCGACTCTTCATTGGCTCCTCATCATAGCCCTAAATTATGAGAAAATTTCTTTGCGCCAGTTGCACCGTGCAACAGACGCATCCAATCATTCATTATCAGACGTTCGTCATACACACACGTGTATTACACAAATGGTCTAGATGTGCCCGTTGCACAATGCAACATGGCAAAAAAAAAAAAATATCTCCTAAATTCCTCTCTTCCCCACCCTGCCACTTCTGTTTCTCTCTTTACCTCTCTCACCACCACCAGTCTGCTCTCTTCAACTTTTACTCTTCTATGTTTACATTTTGTTTTAATTTTATGTATAAATATATATGTGTGTGTATGTATATATCATATATTTGTGTTTTTTGCTATTGGATTTTGCTTTAACTTGTTAGCCAATTCTTAATTCAAATTTTAAAGCTTTTTTTTAATTTATTTATCTGATGTTCAAAGTTTGAGTTTTTCGATTGCTCTACGCATCATAAGTTCATCTCTAGGCATCATATGATATTTAGACTTGTTGATTCACTCGCTTTTAAGCTTTTTTAATTTCTAATTAGACTTTGATTATCTCTTAGATGTTACTTTTGCTATTTTTGGTGCATATAAGTCTGTGATAGTTGTTGTGCTTTGTGGAGTCTGATCACATGAAGAATTGGGATAGTAAAACTTAATGATTTATTGACTTTGGTTTACCTACCAACCTATTGCAACCAGTTG